CACAAATCTATTGCCAGTAGTACCCAATGGCCTACTACTCTCTTTATTAGATCTATATGGATAGATAAAAACATTAATTCTTAGTATTTTAGAAAATACAGTTTCTCAGAAAAAAACATGTCTAGGGTTTTGTTTTCCCAGAAAGACCGATCACCTGAACAAGACTGAAGAAATCGTTACCAAATGATATTCTTTTTTTTTGTTGTTTTTTTGAGACAGGGTCTTGCTCAGTCACCGAAGCTGCTGGAATGCAGTGGTGCAATCACGGCTCACTGCAGCCTCTACCTTCCAGGCTCAAATGATCCTCCCACTTCAGCCTCCCGAGTAACTGGGACAACAGACGTGCACCAACCACCACATGCAGCTAAGTTTTTTGGAATTTTTATAGAAATGGGGTCTTACTATGTTACCCAGGCTGGTCTCAAACTCCTGGGCTCAAGCTGTACTTTCACCTTGGCCTCTCAAAGTGATGTTACAGGCGTGAGCCACTGAACTCATCCTCAAATAACATTTATTTCTATCTTTACTCAGTCCATCAAGAAGATTTGGTACACATACAGTGAATAGTCACACAGATCCTCAAAAGATGAGCGTTGGACTCCTATACCCCAGAAAAACAGATAAACTAGGGCTGAAAAGGAACATCCTCAGATTTATTCAGTCAAATAAATGTTTATTATACACTTGCTATGTCCCAGGCACTACCCTGGGGAAATGACAGGAACAAGATTTTGTGACCAGGAGCTCAAGGATGACTTTGGCCTTCAGTAGAGTGATGGTAGATGAAACCAGACAGCACTGAGATGGGTGAGAAGTTGGCTATAAACAACTATTTCAAGAAGTGTGGTTGGAAAGGGAAAAAGGAATTTTAACAGGGGGATGTGAAGTCAAGGGAGGATGCTACTTTTTTCTATTTTGCTTTATTGTTGTCTGTCTCTGAGCTGTATAAAGGCCAACAGAAAGAAGCTTTTAGTAAGACATGAACAACTGAGTGAAGACCTCACAAAGGCAGTAGATGGGATCCAGAGCCCAAGCAGGGGCTTAGCATAAATACAACCTCTTCTACTGTAACTGGGGGAAGAGGAACAGTTTTTGGCAGGAAACCCCTGAGATTCTCTGCTTACATCTCTATTATGTATGATACAGGTGGCAAGACCACATGCTAAGAGTGTGTGTAGATGATGTGAAAGGATGAGAGGTTTGAAAATCTTGATTCTACAGAGATTGGAAGCAGGTGCTGATGAGGAAAACTCTAGAAGATTACTTGATGGCCCAGCTGAGCTAGTGACCATGGATTTATAGGAGCACAGATCTGGATATGGTGATTTTCCCCACCGGCCCCAGCAACCCAGGTCAAGCATTACAGGAGGTAGAGAGTTGAGAGTGCCCAAGGCTGAGAACCTGTCGGGCAGATGCTACAGAAGAACAACCATATGACTGAGCCCGCTGGCATGACACTGACTGAAGACCACGGAAGCTCCTGATAGGTGCAGTGGGGGCAAAAATGCCCCTTATAAATCTAGACTAATATTATTTAATTTTCAATGTATGTGTAAGACTGGGAGACACAAAAATAATTAAAACTAATCCCTATCCAGCATGAGCTTAGTCTTTTACAGATGTATGTAAACACCATTAATAATATTGCCCCTAACAAAACACAGGGATAAGACAAGGGCTAAGTGGTTATAGGATTCACTAAGTCAGAAAATTTCAAGGCAGGAAGGATTTCAGAGATAACCTAATTGTATGTATTATCTGAATACACAAAAAAGGAAGCAGAGTCCAAAGCATCTAAGCAACTCAGCCAGTACTACAAAGCAGATCAGAGCCAGACCAAGGAGTGTATAGTTGCTTTGACACCTAAGCCAAAATACCTTTTGACTCTGTGATTTTCAATTGAGATCTTGTGAAAAGCAGTACTGTTAGCAAGTAGCAAAGGAAAAAACTTAGCAAGTTAATAATCATCTTTTAGAAAAGTAATGCAGTTCACCCTTAAGCAACACAGGTTTGAATGAGGCAGGTCCACTTACACACAGATCTTTCAACAAAAGCTGTCAGGCACAGGCCAGGCTCAGTGGCTCAAGTCTATAATCCCAGCACATTGGGAGACTGAGGCAGGTGGATCACCTGAGGTCAGAAGTTCAAGACTAGCCTGGCAAACATAATGAAACCCCATTTCTAAAACTACAAAAATTAGCTGAGTGTGGTGGCGTGGGCCTGTAATTCCAGCTACTCAGGAGGCTGACACAGGAGAATCGCTTGAGCCCAGGAGGCAGAGGTTCCAAGTCAGCTGAGACTGAGCCACTGCACTCCAGCCTAGGTGACAGAGCAAGACTCCGTATATATTAAGAAAATAAAGAGTTGCCAGGCACAGTGGGTCACTCCTATAATACCAGCACTCTGGGAGGCAGAGTTCAGAAGTTCAAGACCAGCATGGGCAACATAGTGAGACCTCCTCTCCACAAATAATTTTAAAAATTAGCCAAACAAGGTGGCACGCACCTGAGGTCCCAGCTACTTGGGAGGCTGAGGTGGGAGGCATTTCTGTGGCCCTGACAATCAAGGCTGCAGTGTGTTGTGATTGTGCCACTGCACTCTAGCCTGGGTGACAGAGTGAGACCCCCTTTCAATCAATTAATCAATCAATACACAAACAGATCCAAGGATGCCCATGGATGTGTCACCTACTGCTTTAAGATTCATAATTTCCCCACAATTATTTTAAGTTTGTGTATTCATGTCAATAATAATTTCAAACTAACAGAAACATACTCTAAAGCATTTGATTAGAAGTCAACACTACCACCATGTGATTTCAGTAGGCAGTCCAGAGAATCCATGAACATACTCCCCAGGATCTGAGAACAATCAACATCCTAGTACACTGCTTAGCAGAGTGATGAATGAATATTACTTCCCAGTTTCAAAATCCTCTCAACAACGACCAAAAATTCATCTTTTCAATGAACATTTAAGCACCTACTATGTGGCAGATACTGGAGTAGGAGCCCTGGCTATATTAACATGGGTAAACTAGAGAATGAGTGGAAAAGTAACTGAGAAAATACCCCTGCAACTAGCATTTCCTGTATGGCCTAATCTTACTGCTGCTTGACACCAGAAATTATTAAAAGTCTAGAAGACTATCCATGCAAAACTTTTTGAGTACCAACTTCATTGCCCATAGGATTGTTTCATAATGGGCTCCCAAGAACTTAACTTAGCAAGCTAATAATCATCTTTTAGAAAAGTAATACAGTTGACCCTTCAGCAACAGAGGTTGGAACAAGGCAGGTCCACTTATACACAGACTTATTTCAATACAAGTTGCACTGAGTGTGCCTGCCTCTCCCACTTCCCCTTCCACCTCCTCCATCTCTTCCATCTCAGCCACCCCTGAGACAATCGCTCCTCTTCCTCCTCCACCACAATCTATTCATGAAGACTATGGGGATGAACACCTTCATGGTGCTCCACTTTCACTCAAGAGCAAATATTTTTTCTCTTCCTTGTGATTTTCTTAACATTTTCCTCTCTCTAGCTTACTTTATTATCATACAGGATATAATACATATAACATACAAAATACATGTTAGTCAACTGTTTATGTATCAGTAAGGCTTCTTTCTGGTCGACAGGAGGCTATTAGGAGTTAAATCCTGGGGGAATAAAATTTACACGGGAATTTCTGACTGCGTGGGCACCCTAACCCCAGCGTTGTTGGAGGGTCAACTGTAGTTCAAAATGGCATTCAGTGCAGGAAATTAAAAACTTGACAAGAAAAAAAGACTAGTTTCTAAAACTTCCAAGAGTTGTTCCAAGTCACACTGGGGGAATCTCTGCTTCTTTCCTTAAATTTATTAACTTTCTACGTAAGCAAACAAGAGGTAAGTACTAAGCAGACATCACTCTTTCTCGTAATACTCTGCGAATCACCAACTTTTAAAAGCACAAAAATCATCCTTGGGAGGATTTTGGCTTTCAGTTGATTTGTCATTAAAGGAGTCAGTTACACAAATCATGGGCCAGTATGTACTAACATTCATAAACAAAACATTATCATGCACTAGGAGACAGATCCATACGTAAGCTCAGAACTAACCTTTCAATACTGCATAGGGCACACAAACGATTTAACTAAAGTGTGGCTAACTTAGAAAAATATTTAAGTGTCCCTTGTAAGTTTACTCACAAATTCACAAAGGCATCAAACTTAAAATTTCCCAGACTTATTAGTATGTTGACCTTTGGCAGATTAAAAATAACTTACTTCCATTCAAAGACGAGTTGTTTCAAGAACTGTTTCTTGGAACTAAGTGTTTATTTAAAAACCTTGAGATACAGCGTTATGCATCAGCAGGCTTCCAGACTGCTGCTGTGCGGATTTGGAGCCGTTGCGCAAGGCCTCAATGGCAGCTACAGCAGGAACTAAGGCTCTTTGCTCAAGCACTCTGAGCCGCCGCTCCTCTATCTGTAAAATGGGGTCACAGGCACCGTCTACCCAAGCGCGAGGATCAAGTCCGTGCACGCAAACGCTGACAACAGTGGCAGGCGCCTTTTAAGCGCTAAGGACAGCCAGAGCGGGATGCATTCCTAGGCAGACAGGTAAAACCTGCCTCCTGTTTGCTTTCCGAGAAATTATCAAATCTCAGAGTGGCAACTACGCACGGCGCGTGAGGGGTACAGTTCCGGCAGACGGGGCGCGGGGTTTGCCCTCTGCAGCCCACACGCTCCGCACCGGCGCAGGTGGGGACGGCAGGGCTGGGAACTGCGGGGATAGGCACAGAGCCCCGCTGGCGCCTGACAGCGGGGGTGGGGGCGGCGGGGCTGGGAACTGCACTGGGTCGCAGGGCCCCGCAGGTGACCGACGGCGCGGGTGGGCGCGGTTGTCCCTTCACAGCTGAGGCCTGGACGGACGCCGCCATCGGCCGCCTCCGCGCGGCTGACGTCCATGCCCCGCTGGCCTTCGGCCAGGCCCTCCATCCTCCCACACATACCTCCTGCCGGCCTGCAGCCCCCCACGGCAGGCAAAGACAGGACCGGGTGGGTCTCGCCGAAGGCTCCGCGACCGCCAGCTGCCGGCACCTCACTTCCGCCCGCCGCGAGCGCCGAGCGCGTAGATCCGCCGGGCAGTCGAGCGCCGAGTCGTCGATGGGAGGAGCCTCCCTGGGAGGGTAGAGGAGGGAGGGGACCCGCGCGGGTACGGGAGGTCAGCAGGGGCCGTGGGCGGTGGATGTAGGACTGCCTTGGATTCCGAGGGACCCAGCCGCCTGAATGGACACGAGTAGGAGGTTTTTGCTGGGAGTCTTTGCAGTGGCGGGAAATGGGGAGCGGCGAGGGAGAAAGAGAAGCATATAAACTCAGGGGGCGGGCCGTGTGCACCATCCATCCCCGAGCCCTCGGTGACCTCAAAGAGGCTGCGAGATGATAGTGCGTTTATGGGGCCACAGTTCACAACGATGGGCCCTGCACTGGGTCAGGGGACCGCTCCGGAACAGGGGGATGCATGGAATCAGAGGGCTGCACCAGGTCAGGAGGCCGTGCCGAGAGCAGAAGAAGCATCGGGTCAGGAGGATGCACTGGAGTGTGCATCCCCAGGGGGCCACACTGGGTAAGGAGGATGCACCAGCTCAAAGGGCTGCACTGGGTCAGAAGGATGCACTGAAGTCAGGGGACTCTACCAGGTCAGGGGCCGCATCAGGTCAAGAGGAGGCACTGGGGTCGGGGCGGGAGCAACATTGAGTCAGGAGCAACCCTGGGTCGGGAGGATGGATGGAGTCAGGAGGCTGCAGGGGTTTAGGGACTGCAGTGGGTCAGGGCGCCGCACCAGGTCAGAGGATGCGCAGAGTCGGAGAGATGCTGGGGATCGGGGATGCATGGAGTCGAGGGGATGCTTGGGTCGGCGGGATGCTCGGGGTCAGGGAGGGGATGCTCCAGGCTGGGGAAATGCACTGGGTCGGCAGGGGGGATACTCGGGGTCTGAGGAATGCACTGGTTAGGGGGGATGCTAAAGGGTCAGGGGGCTATGGCCAAGGAGGAAGGACAATCAGGAAAGTGGGGATCGCAGATTCTGGAAGCTAGATAGTTTCAGGAAGGAGGAATTGATTGACAATGTTCAGAAGTACTGTGAGGCCAAGACTCCAAAGACAACTGAGTTTGGCATATGCCAGTCATTGACATCCTTGACAAAAGCAGTTCAAAGGAGTGTGGGGAACCTACATCTCTCATCAGAGTGGACTGTGAAAAGAATATTAAGTGAAGTGGGAAAACGTGACTTTAGACAACCTGGGTTGGCAGATTTAGCAATAAAAATACAAATACCCAGTAACGTTGAATTTTCAGATAAACAACAAGTAATTTTTAGAGTAGGTATATTGCTAAACTAATGTAGCATGGGATATACATCTACCAAAACATTGTTTTAGTATTAGTGTAAATATGGCCCAAGTATTGCACAGGACATACGTATATTAAATTATTATCAATCTGAAATTCAAATAGATGTTCTGTATTTGTTTTTTTAGACAGAGTCTCACTCTGATGCCAGGCTGGAGTTCAGTGGTGTGATCTCAGTTCACTGCAACCTCTGCCTCCCAGGTTCAGGTGATTCTCCTGCCTCAGCCTCCCAAGTAGCTGGGACTACAGGCACGTGCCACCACACGTGGCTAATTTTTGTATTTTTGATAGAGATGGGGTTTCACCATGTTAGCCAGGATGGTCTCGATCTCCTGACCTCGTGATCCGCCCACCTTGGCCGCTGAAAGTGCTGGGATTACAGGCGTGAGCCACCGTGCCCGGCCCTGTTCTGTATTTTTATCTGGCTACTTTGACAACCACTTTGAGGAGTTTTGTGATAAAGGGAGCAGAGATATGGGGTAGTTGCTAGAGGAGCATGACATCAAGGAAAAAGTCTGTTTTAAGATGGGACCTATTAACCTAATGGATAAGGAGAGAACTGCTGATGCAGGAGAGAGAGGGAGCAACTGCAGAGCAAAGTCTTTGAAAAAAGTAAGAGAGGGTAGGACCTATTGCACAAGGGGCAGAAGTTGTCCTTAGAAAGGAGTTGGCAGAGTTGAGCTGTGTAGTAGGAGAGCAAGCAGAATGTGAAGCTACAGGTGTGGTGGGTTGGTAGCTATGGTGAGTGGAAAGTCAGAAAATACTCCTCTGATTGCTTCTATTTTATTCACAAAGGAACCAACAAGATCATCTATGAGCAGGGAGTAGGAGCAAGGGAGAATTGAGAAGGGATGAGATTGTTATCTTAGACATTGTAAGGCAAATTACTAAGGATATATAGTGAGACTGCCAGGGAGAGCAGACTGCCCACTTGGGATGTGTGGTCTTAAGTTTCAAATGGAAGCAGTCAACCTGCTTGTGTGTGTTTTGGCTGCTCTGGTGCAGGCAGGGAGTTAGTAGAAAATTAGTTGTAGCTGAGACTGGAGTTCGGCACAGAAGAAGGAGCAGGGAACAGAGGAGTTCAGGGTCTATGCAGAGAAATGACATTAGACAGAACCATGGAATTTAACCTGGTATGACAGGGTATTTAGATTGATTTTTCTGGTTATCCTGTAATTGGTCACTTGCACTGGGAAAGATCACAGATAACTAAGGTGACCACACGTTCCACTTTGCCTGGGATGACTCTGATTTGTGTCTGTAGTGATGGCTTCATTATTGAGTACCCCCGTTACTGTCAAAAGTATTCCTTTTAGACCCTATATGGTCACGCTAAAGTCTCCTCAGACTATAAAGGAACCCCCCAAGCAATTGGGTAAAACACCTCTTGGAGCTTATGAGGAATTCACTCAGCTGTTCTAATCTGGGTTAGTACTTGCTGGCCCAAGGTACCCATGAGCCTGTGCTTGCTGCTGTCAGAGTGGAACTGAGCATCAGTGCAGAATTTTGGCAGAACTGGGCTGCCCTCAGGATGATATGTGACCCAGAGTGTGTGCCGACTTTTGGTGCAAATTCCTAAAAGTAGGGGACCAGCTGGAGAAGCCAGTAACAGCTAGACAGAGAGGAGGGTGGCTGAGAAGCAGCTGTATAGCCCTCCTGTGGATTTCGCAGCCTCTCAGCCCAAGAACTCACACATGCCTCTCACACACATGCCCTTAGTCTTTGGCCCATCTATGTGTCTTATATGAATGCCTGCCTGACAGAAAGCCTCCACAGCAGGGCACAGAGCAAATGGGATGATTCAGCCAGGGTAGGTTAGGCTGTCTCTGCACAATGTCCATTCACAGGGTTGGAGGCTGCAGGGACCCACCCAACAAGGTAGGTCTAGATAGTGCCTCTGCCCTTTTCTTCAGCCACACAGGCTAATGGGCAGCCCATGGTATGGTGGCTGCCATCCCTCAGGAAGACCAAGCAGCTAGTTGGTAGCAAGTTGATTTCCATAGGCCCAGATGTGTCTTCTGTGTTTGGGTTTGTCTTCCTTGCCTGCAGAGACTTGGCAGGCATGACTCCCCAGTTGCTTACAGAATGTCTTGCTTTATCATCACAGAATTTCCCATAATATCACCTTGGACCAAGGACCCTTGTAAGAGCAAAAGGGGCAGACAATGGGGATGGGACCACAAGCTCCACTGGTTCCACCCGAGATCGCAGACCCCAAACTGCCACCATGATAGGACATCAGCATGGCCCCACAAAGGCACAGCGAAGGCTCCAGCAGTGTTGAAAGCTGTGCTGTGGGATGCAGTATGTATTCAGAACTTCATAGCAGTGTATGGTGCTGCATCCCCAGTAGCTAGAGGCCTGGCCCCTGGGATGTGCCAAAGATGCTCTCCCAGGTGACACAAGGTTCACTAAATCTAAAAGCCTCTCCTTATTTGGAGTTCTCATGCAGGCAACAAAATTTGGTCCTGGTTATGAGTAAGAAATGGGAGGGAGGATAATTTCTGGAAGGCAGGGGACTCCCTGGCATCTTTTCCTTGCTTGGCGATACCAGTAAACGAGCAATGCAGCAGCCCTGGCCTGATGAGGAATGGTAACCAAAGGCTCAGAGCTCACAGGGAAGAAGGTCTGGGTCACTTCATCAAGGAAGCAGCCTAGGCCACAGACCTGCTAGCTGCAGGTGAGGAGAACTGAGCCAAGTGATTAAAGAAGATGATGAAAATCACTATGGCCTTAGAACTAACTGCAGCAGTGGGCATTATAGCCCAACCTACTGACCTTCCCGAGGTGGGGTTTTTCCCTGAGTAAAGTATGCTGGACACCATCATGAGGAATCAGGGGCAGGACACAGATCTGTAGCAGTGGATCTGCTGTGCAAGGCAGGACAGTAGCAGAGGACATCAGTGCTCACCCAGATTCCCCCAGCTAAAGGCTGCTTCTGGGAACACCTGCATGTCTTTTTGTGCTTGACATATTTCTTCCTGGAGCAGGGCAAGCTGGAAGCCCTAGAGAGTTAATTCAGAGGCAGGCCTCAGCCAATGGCAGGCAAGGATTTAGTGTGTAAATTCCCTGGCGTAGCTCCTCGTGGCTGGGGTTAGCAGGGCATGCTCCGTTACATCGCAGTCTCAAGGAGGCTGCTCCAACATCCCCTGGGGAAGTGCCCCAAAGTACACCTTTATTGGCCTCCCTACTCCCCTCCTGCTCTTTCCTGCTGTCACCTCCCAAGTGAATTGATAGCCCTAAGTCAGCTTCTGGGGGAATCCAGTCAAGGTTCTTATTATCACAGACTAAAAACAACCTATACTTACTATAATTCAATATATATTTGTTATTAGAGACAGGGTCTCACTCTGTCACCCAGGCTGGAGTGCAGTTATGAGATCCTATCTTACTGTAGCCTTGAACTCCTGGGCTTAAGGATCCTCCTCTTCAGCCTTCAGAGTAACTAGACTACAGATGCGTGCCACCATGCCTGGCTAATTTTTGTTGCTGTTTTTTGTAGAAATTGAGTCTCGCTATGCTGCCCAGGCTAGTCTTCAACTCCTGTGCTTAAGCAGTCCTCCCATAGCATGGGCCACCACACCGAGACTCAAGTATCACTGTGCTGAATTGCACACTTATTAGGGAAATATGTCCTGGAACAAAAAACAAGTGATGTGGAACCTAGCATGACTTCATTTTTCTCTTCTTGTTATCAGAGGATGTGTTGAAATACAGCCCTAGTATGCAATCACT